CTTTCTATCTGTCTATCTATCTATCTATCTATCTATCTATCTATCTATCTATCTATCTACCGATCGCTCTATCGATCGATCTATCTATCTATCTATCTATCTATGTATCTATCTATCTATCTATCTATTTATTTATCTATCTATCTTTCTATCTATCTATCTAACTAACTATCTATCTATCTATCTATCCATCTATCTATCTATCTATCTATCTAGCTAGCTATCTATCTATCAATCGATCTATCTATCAATCGATCTATCGATCTATTTATGTATCGATCTATGTATCTATCTATCTATCTATCTACCTATCTATCTTTCTATCTATCTATCTGTCTGTCTATTTGTCTTTCTATCTATCTATCCATCCATTCATCCATCCATCCATCTATCTATCTATCCATCTATCTATCTATCTATCTATGTATCGATCTATGTATCTATCTATCTATCTACCTATCTATCTATCTATCTGTCTATCTATCTATCTTATCTTTTCTTATCTTATCTCATCTTATCTTATCTTATCTTATCTATCTTATCTATCTAATCTATCTAATCTATCTAATCTATCTAGTCTATCTAGTCTATCTAATCTATCTATCCATCTATCTAGCTATCGATCGCTCTATCTATCGATCTTTCTATCTATCTATCTATCTATCTGCCTATTTGTCTTTCTATCTATCTATCTATCCATTCATCCATCCATCCATCCATCTATCTATCTATCTATCTATCTTTTGATCTATCTATCCATCCATCCATCCATCCACCCATCCATCTACCTAATCTACCTATCTATCTACCAATCTATCTATCTATCTATCGATCTATCTCTCTCTCTCTCTTTCATCTAATGACCTATCTGTCTATCTTTCTATCTGTCTATCTATCTATCTATCGATCTATCTATCTATCTATCTATCTACCGATCGCTCTATCGATCGATCTATTGATCTATCTATCTATCTCTTTATCTATCTATCTATCTATCTTTATTTCTATCTATCTGTCTATCTATCTATCTGTCTATCTATCTATCTATCTATCTATCTATCTATCTATCTAATCTTTCTAATCTATCTATCCATCTATCTAGCTATCGATCTATTTATCTATCGATCTATCTGTCTATCTATCTATCTATCTATCTGCCTCTCTGTCTCTCTGTCTCTCTGTCTGTCTATCTATCTATCTATCTATCTACCTATCTATCGATCTATCGATCTATCGATCTATCTTAAGTTCTATTTGTCTATCTTTCTATCTGTCTATCTGTCTATCTGTCTACCTGTCTACCTGTCTACCTGTCTATCTGCGGTGCAGCGTCATTCAGTGAAATGTAGTGTAGTGTCATGTAGTGTTTTGTAGTGGAGTGTAGTGGAATGTAGTGTAATTTAGTGTCGTGGAGTGCAATTTAGTGAGTGGAGTGTAGTGGAGTGTAGTGGAGTGTAGTTGTAGTTGTAGTTGTAGTGTAGTGGAGTGTATAGTGTAGTGTGATGTAGTGAAGTGTAGTGGAAGGTAGTGTAGTGTAGTGTAGTGTAATGTAGTGTAGTGGAGTGTAGTGTAGTGTAATGTAGTGTAGTGTAGTGTAATTTAGTGTTGGAGTGGAGTGAGTGGAGTGTAGTTGTGTAGTTGTAGTTGTAGTGTTGTGGAGTGTAGTGTGGTGTAATGTAGTGAAGTGTAGTGGAAGGTAGTGTAGTGTAGTGTAATGTAGTGGAGTGGAGTGTAGTGTAATGTAGTGTAGTGTAATTTAGTGTAGTGGAGCGTAATTTAGTGTAGTGGAGTGTAATTTAGTGTAGTGGAGTGTGTTTGTGTAGTTGTAGTTGTAGTGTTGTGGAGTGTAGTGTGGTGTAATGAAGTGAAGTGTAGTGGAAGGTAGTGTAGTGTAGTGTAATGTAGTGTAGTGGAGTGGAGTGTAGTGTAATGTAGTGTAATGTATTGTAGTGTAGTGTAATTGAGTGTAATTGAGTGCAGTGTAGTGTAGTGTAGTGGAGTGTAGTAGAATGTAGTGAAGGTGTAGTTGTAGTTGAGGTAGTGTAATGTATTGGAGTGTAGTGTGGTGTAGTGGTGATTGAGTTGAAAATGACCACAAAACCCGCACGTTTCCTCACTTTTGACATTGCTTAATCATCATGTTCCCTAATGGCGACAATTATCCGCAACATTCCGCAACTATTCACACCTATCCAATATGATCCATAGATCTATTGCTTAATTATCCACTATGTTCATTGTCCATATATCCATTGGTTAGTTATCCATTTTGTAATTATGTCATTAAATCAATGGGAATTCCAGCATCCTAAAATGGAGGTACGTTAGTACCATTTTTCAGGCCATATTCTCTGGGGATAGTCCCTGAAACATAGGCCTAAAAAATAGGCCTTAAAAAATGGAATCGGTACCTCCAATGAATCGATTCCAGTTCGTCATGGCCAGTGATTATACACCAATGATTAACCATCATTCACCACTATTAAGCATTAACCACGTGAAATAAAATGGTATGTCCGACATCCAAAAAAAAAGGCCATCTCTGGGTGTAAAACAACGAACTGGTCGCCGATCTGTGAAAACAGGCCGGCTTTATTTTGGATCCGGCGACTCGGTTGGAGTTTGGGGAATCCCATCCTGGGGGTACGTACCCCATGACAAAACGGAAAGCTCCAGATGGGTGGCGTCCGAAAACATGGGGGGTATCCAATAGCTGGTTGGTTTATTTCATGGAAACTCCCATTAAAATGGATGATTTGGGGGTATTCCATGGTACCCCTATTTCAGGAAACCTCCCATATTATTTGATTAAATATGTTGTACGATAATTGTCATTGCCTCATATTCTAATAGTTCATGATATGGTTTATGTTATGTATGCTACATTGCATGTATTATCAACGTTGAATGTTGTTTTGTTGCATTCTAGCACATTACATTCTATCCTACCATATGTATCCATATGATATCATCTTGTTGGTGGTTTGGAACATTTTTTATTTTTCCATATTATATTGGGAATGTCATAATCCCAACTGACGAACTCATATTTTTCAGAGGGGTAGGTATACCACCAACCAGTCATTATATTACATTACATCATACTATGTTTATGATCCAATATATGATATCTTAACATATATATATATATATATATATGTGTGTGTCACATCATCATGCACCGAATCCTGGGACGTAGATCTGCCATTAGCTGTGCAAGTGGCACCTATATATAGATCCCAGTGGTGAATCGATGATTTTTCTGCTTCAAGTGGAAATCATATGCCATATTTATGGCCATATTATGGTCATAATTGGGGTATACTTAGGCCCATTTCAGATACATAGAGAGACATGATCCATATGAATTTTCCACTCTTCAGGTCATCATCCTCTAAATTTACATTACAATTACATATCAAATTTCACGAGCTCCTGGGGTTTTGCGATTTTTAGGGAATATTGGATATCAAGGTCAAGATGCAATATTTGGTGCAGTGTACGCGCACAAGGGTCGCACGAAAAAACTTAAGCGTCATGGTTTGCACGGCGATCTCCGACTGTTTCCAACCGTTTCCCCTTGGACACCTTTGGACCTTCAAAAAAAAACGATTAATTGGACCAAATCCATTTATGGAAGGCTGATCCAGCGCAAACCCGTGCAAACCATGACGCTTAAGTTTTTTCGTCCGACCCTTGTGCACGTACACTGCACCAAATGTTGCATCTTGACCTTGATATCCAATATTCCCTAAAAATCGCAAAATCCCAGGAGCTCGTGAAATTTAATACAATTACATGGATGCTGATGTCCCCAAATTGGATAAAGGGAAACTTCACTGGGTTGACGCCGCCTGAACATTGTCAAAAACCGGAGTTTCCTTCCAATGAGGTTGTTAGCCCCCATACATTTTGATTGAGTCTCCATTTTTGCTGATGAATTAAATTGCTGTTGTCTGTTGACGGTCAAGTTGATTAAGTCGCCATGTGTCACTGTATCACCATGGCCTATGGGTTTGTTTGAAAAGTGGGTACCCCCAAATCCTATTGTTATGATGGCCATTTGGGGGCAAGCACCATTAAAAGACACAGCCGCAGTTGAGGAGTTGATGAAGTCACTTAGTTTTTCGTTGTTATGTTTGAAACCGGATTATGCAAGTTGCATCAATATGCCAACCTATAATAATCAAGCATCTATTAAAGATATAAATATATATACAATATATAGATCATCCGTCAATAATCCCTTATAATCATAGATTATTATCAGCAATTAGCACTTCTTATTATTACAGTATATTACAGTACCCATTTTTATCCCAATGTGAAGCCATTGATCATCCATTTGAACTCCCATGAGGATTAAGCCGCATGGTTGGCTACATAAGTGCCATGGTCACATCCCATTCCTGGCAATTCGTTGAATCACATGGTGAGAACAATGTGGCGTTTTGAGCGCCGTGGACAAGCTAGACTTCATTGTGAGGAGAAGCATTAAGGTCAAGGTCGTTGGGAAGGATTCATGCAAGCATGTCAATGGCATGTGCATCACACGTGCATGACATGTGCGTGTAACATCATCATGCAGCCAACCGTTTGTAATGCAAACATGTAGAATCCTGGTCCTAATTGATGGAAACAATCTAATCCATGTAAATTCTACATTCCTTAACATCTACATGAATCACCATCATGCAAACATGTAGAATCCTCATTCTGACCCCAGCCCTTTTCGGTGATGGACGCAGGCCCACCCTGCCCCGACGCTGAGGTCTGCGTGCCGCCGACCATGACCTTGGAGGAGCTCGACGAGTCGCTTGGTGGAGCTTGGATGGTCTATCAGTACTAGAATTATGGGTTCCTATGAATAATTATGGATGATTATGCCATAATTATGGACTATAGATAGATGACTATAGTATATTATATGTTATCATGCCATTACTATGGATGATTATGAATTCTTATGGATTACTGGTAGTATATCTGAGCAAAAAATTCATCAAAATCTCACGTTCTGACCGAATCATGAAATCATCCCCAGAGTTGGTAAGTCGTGTAGGTGAAGCCAAGTACTTGAGTTATAACCAGTTACCCTCTGGTAAACATACAAATAACTATGGAAAATCACCATTTTTTTAATGGGAAAACTCATTATAAATGGCAATTTTCCATAGCTATGTTAGTTTACCAGAGGGTATAACCTACCTACAGCTGGATAGCAAGTAGGGATTCAATATAATTGCCGCCTATGGATGAGTAGCGCTGCCTGCAGGAATTTTTCGTCAGCAATGCTGCGGGGATACGTAAGCTACAACCATGTAACCAGTGGAATGGGCATAGACCAATTACAACGGTGATGCAACCAGGAAACGATATGTTACCCGCCTCCCGACATTGAGATAGTCGTTGCAAGGAGAAAAACGTGGGACCAACAAATGTTCAAAAACTTGTTCACCACTCATTACGTTAGTATCCGAATTGGTTATTCTGGAGGAGAACCTTGAAGTGCAGAGCAAGTTGCGGCATGTTTGGTTGGAGCAAGTCTTTCTTCACCTATATATTCCCCATAGTATGCTGGACAACTCTGAGCTTGCTCCCAAGGGCTAGAAACTTCACTTGTTGCAAAGGTGTTGGATCCAATTTGATCCAATTCACAATATCTGGTTGGTGGTTTCAAACATGTTTTATTTTCCATTTTATATATGGGACGTCATCCTTCCCATTGACGAACTCATATTTTTCAAGATGGTTATGGCACCACCAACCAGATTATTATTAACCATCATTAACCATATAATAACCATTAATATTAACCATTATGAACAGTATATTAACCAGTATGGTTAAAATCACCAACCAGATTATTATGATCATTAACCATATAATAACCATTAATATTAACCATTATGAACAGTATATTAACCAGTATGGTTAAAACCACCAACCAGATTATTATTATTATTATTAACCATATAATATCCATACATTAACCATATATTAACCATCATTCACCAGTATTAACAGTATATAAAGCACCAACCAGATATTCACCAGGATGAACGTGTCCTCGAAGTGTGCTCGCCCATGACCTCTGTTGAACCAAGGGTTTCATCAGAGTCCAATTGACATGCTGTAGCCTCTGGTAAACGTTAAAAAGCTATGGAAAATGGCCATAGAAATAGTGGATTTACCCATGGAAAATGGTGATTTTCCAGGATTTACCCATGAAAAATGGTGATTTTCCATAGTTTTTTGTAAACGTTTACCAGAGGGTACTGGAAGTCTCTTTGATGTCACCAGAGGGATCAACTCTACACATAGCCGAAGGCACTAAGCTCCCAGATATGCAGCAGCAAATCTGTTTGGCCATTGGTCGGAAGAATCCTATGGCAGAATGATGGATGTCAGAAAATTGCTGTAGGAGTCTGTGGTGAAACCACCTCCAGATGCCACTGATATTGCGCATAAAACCGGAGATATCGTCAGATATGAACTACCAACTGCAACAGGATTTGGAGGAAAAACACATTTAGTTATAGTTCGATGATTTTTCCAGCTAGCCTCCAGGGAATGTCCCAGCCTCGTTTGATTACCAGGGGATAGATATCATTAACCATGACCTCGCAGCTAGCCTTGCTAGAATCCACGGTGAGGCGGTGAGGCTTGGAAATATTACTATATAGATTTGTTTTAGCTGTGACTGAAGTGGGTTATGTCCGTCAAATAGACATATGAATAGGGAAAATATGATACATATGATATTAATGATATTCGCAAGATTCGTGATGATTCATTGATTCATGCAGGGTACACCGATCCATAATTCATCTTTGGCCATGTTCAATCGAGGCTTCTCCTGTAATCCTGTAGAAACAAAACTTGTGGGCCGTCTAAGGTTGCCATGAATAGAGTGGCAAAAGATCCAGACTTGGGAGAAAGATTAAGATGGCTATGAGTCAAAAAATCTGGATTTGTATATGTGAGGGACACCACATGTTTGTCATGTTTCGCTCTTGTGTTTCCATTTTTGGGTGAAGAATCGTGCGAACTAGGTGCTCCAAGCATCCTACATTTACAATCAGTTATGGGCGTTTCCCCCCAAAGACATCCAAATAACCCTAATGTAGGTATAATTGGGAAGGTACCATTTAAGTATCAAATCATGACTATTGAGGGAATACCCCCCTAATTAATAAACCATGGTCTATTAATCCGGGGTTAACATTATACCCAGCGTGAGCGCACTTGCCGCCGCATGGCAAACCGCTTTCCAACTCACACTTCTGTGGCTGCTGAATGCCTGCCTCAAGAGCGTGTTGTTCAGCACATTGGGAGGATCCTTTTCCTCATTACACTTGTGAATTTATTGCATGCAGTTCTTTGAGCAATACCTGCCGTGAAGCGGCGCAGCAGTCGAGCTCACAGAGGAAAAATGTTGGAAAACGAGCGAAGACCAACTGCGCAGTGGGGCAGCATGTTTGCCGAAGCTGGCCGAAGTAGAAAAGACAAGGATAGGCAAGGTATATGTTGCATTCAGGTGGACTGAGAAACGATTCCAATGTTCCAATGTGTATTGTGGTCCTCAGATTCTTGGATAAAGTCATAGGTTTCATGGTGAAATTCCTGCTTCCGTGGGTGAAATGTGGGTGTGTCTGAAAATATGGTAGACCTCCAAGTGGAGAGAATGATGACAAACCATGGGATTTATACATCACCAATAAAACTAGAATGTTTGCTATCACCCCATCTATCTTCATCTAATATAGACGCTGAACCTCGCTGGTTTTTGGGTTCAAACGGACTCTCCCAACCACATACTGTATTTTTGCGGGGTCTATGTTAATCGGATTTGCAGCTTCTAGGTTTGTTTTTTTGGTGCACTGCTCCAGGCTTCACCGGCAGACTTCATCACAGATGATGGTTAGGAGTGCGGAAATGATCCCAAGAATGGTGTCTTTCTGATTTGGAAATGGATATATATATATATATACATATGAGATAATTATATATACATACAATATATAACTATATATACTTATATTTTGAACTCTATATATAAATATTTTTGTATTTTGAACTCTATAAATATATATAATTATATTGAACTATATTTAATGTTATATATAATATTATTTATATACATACAATTATATATATATACAATATTATATATATATATATATATATACAATATTATATATATACAATTATATATTTATTGTTTGTTTATAGTTATATATATATAGTTATATATATAAATAGACGCTTTGCCCAGGTTGGTGAATAGGGATGTGAGAGTCTACGCAAAAATACGGGAATCACCAGGAATAGGTATACCCAACAAAAACATGAGGATATAGTTGCTAAACCAACCGGCTCAATGATGTTAAATGTGTGCTGAATAGTCGATTTGTTTGTCACAATGGGAATACAAAAATTCACTGCCGATGGACTGGTCATTTCTTGGTTGATTCCATCCCAGTTCGGGATATCTGCTTTTGGTCCATACCCATATACGGAGTTTAGCTAGCAACATCGATGAATGGTAGTTCAGGGTCATTGATAGTAGTTGATTGCGAAGTTCAACTGAAGTAACTTCAACTACCTTTGTAGCACGTGTGTGGAAAAAGCACATGTTGTTTTGAGCTGGCAAAAACACTACGATATCAAGATTGACACTTATCGTTAGTATTGATCAGCTTGCCAGGATCTTTGCCGCGAGATGTCCGGCTCAGAAAGTGTTGCTACGACGGGCAAAGATGATTTCCGTCGAGACATGTTTCAACTGAGTATAGCTTTGCCGAGTGGACAAACTGAGATAATTTCAATTCCACCGTCCTCCAAAGTAGGGGACTTGACAATTCTCGCCCAGAAGACTTTCGGATCCTGCGGCTTCCTGCGGTTGCTCACAGCAAGCGGACATGCCCTGACTGATTCTGTGGCATCTTTGTCAGCTGCTGGGCTGCAGGATGGAGACCACCTTACTGCTCTTGCAGTTCAGGGAAGCATCGCCGCAACACAGGAAGCCTTTGCTTTGTGGTGCTGTGGAGGTGACAGGATCGTTGCTTGGGGCGCTCCAGATTCTGGTGGCGACAACTCTGCAATCCAAGATTTGCTGAGGAATGTGCAACAGGTTAAGGCCTTGAAAACAGGATTCCATGCTGGTGCCATGCCCACCGGTGCATTTGCGGTGATTCTGGCAGGTGGCTCCGTCATTACATGGGGGGCGAGCACGGCAGGTGGTGACAGCTCTGCGGTACAAAATCAGCTCAGGAGTGTGCAGCAGGTTCAGTCCACAACACACGCATTCGCTGCCATCCTCGAAGATGGATCTGTGGTGACGTGGGGCTCTCCAGCGCATGGTGGTGACAGCTCCGCAGTACAATGTCAGCTAGGCCACGTGTGCCAGATTCAGGCTACATCGCAAGCGTTTGCTGCTGTCTTAAAGGACGGATCAGTGGTGACATGGGGCAATGCGTATTTTGGTGGTGACAGCTCCACAGTGCAAGATCGGCTACAAAGAGTGAAGCAGATTCAAGCCAATGGTTTTGCCTTCGCCGCGATCCTGGAAGATGGATCTGCAGTGACATGGGGCATTGAAAGCTACGGTGGTAACAGCTTTACAGTACAAGATAAGTTGAAGAACGTGCAGCATGTTCAGGCCACCAGGTTTGCATTTGCTGCGATCCTCGCAGATGGATCCGTGGTTTCCTGGGGTTTTCCTGGGCATGGCGGGGACAGCTCTGCAGTCCAAGATCAGCTCAGAGATGTGTGCCAAGTGCAGGCCACAGCGTTGGCTTTTGCTGCGATCTTAAGGGATGGGTCTGTGATTGCGTGGGGCTCGTCAGATCATGGGGGTGACAGTTCTTCCGTCCAAGGTCAGCTTAGGAGTGTGCAAAAGCTTCAGGCTGCAAGAAATGCATTTGCTGCAATTCGGGAAGATGGATCTGTGGTTGCCTGGGGTGATCCTGAAAATGGTGGTGACTGCTCTGATGTTCAAGACCAGCTCAGGCGCGTGCAGCAAGTTCAGGCGACGCTATATGCGTTTGCGGCAATCCTAGATGATGGTTCCGTGGTCACGTGGGGCAATCCTGCACATGGCGGCGACAGCTCTGCAGTCAAAGGTCAGCTGAAAAATGTGCAGCAAGTTCAGGCTACATCGCTTGCCTTTGCCGCGGTCTTAAAGGATGGTTCAGTCGTGACGTGGGGCAATCATACAGCAGGGGGTTACCTCCCTGAGGGACAGCATTTGTTTCTTTAGGAAAATGCCGCCTGCTTGGTGCGTCAATCCGTCCATGTTCCGGGTCACAGTCACAGTACCCAGTGCTATCCATACGATTCCATTGGTTGTGATTGATGCTCCATCAATTCTTGAGATGACTGAGGCCCCCAAAGGATGTTGTTTGGGAACTAGGGGGCCCAACCAGACAGTTGATGATAGTTGGTTCTATACTAAGAAGCAGAATATTCTTCGGCCCATCAACACTTTAGTTGCATTTCATATTTCTGCAAATGTTCAGGAGCTTAAATACCAACTTTTGAATGCATCCCCCTGCAGGTTGCTTATGCAGGTGAGAAATCCCAAACAGGTTTGTCCAAGACTGGCTGTGTCAAAGTTGCCATTAATATCCCATCAGTCCCATGAATACTATTTATAAAACTATATCTATCTGGTTGGTGGTTTGGAATATGTTTTTATTGTTCCATATATTAGGAAGAATAATCCCACCTGACTTTCATATTTTTCAGAGGGGTTGAAACCACCAGCCAGATATATATGGAGTTTTCCTACCATGGGGGTACCCCAACAGCTGGATGGTTTATAATGGAAAATCTTACTAAAATGGATGATTTGGGGGTACCCCTATTTTAGGAAACCTCCATATATATATATACATACATACACTCACAATATCCTCGTTGTTGGTTCACTCCCCATCTATTATCCACACCTGCGGTCCCGTGCCTTGATTTTCAACCCAATGAATACTATTTGGGCATTCGTAGAGTGGATTTACCAACAAATTTGAAGAATAATATGACCACCAATAGATGTGTTTGTTGAATCCTCCTCTATTGGTATTCACTGGTCTTTAATTATCTATATATATATATTATCTATACACAGCTGTTTTGGTTCAGTCTCGTATATATCCCATATCTATTCTGCGGTAAAAAAATCCATATAACCCTCGAAACACCACCCCCCCATTTATGGCCGGCGTTTTTTCCCATGAACCTTCCTGTGTTGCTGGCTATATCCAATACATATATATATATATATGTATTTATTATATATATATACATTATATATATATATCCCCTTCTATCCCATTGATATCCCAGATTATCCCACTAGTTTCTATTACATCCCTTTTTTTTGCCTGCCCAGCTAGATCTCCCCCCATACCAACAGTTGCCTCCAGCAATCATTAAATTAAAAAGTTAAGACAGTTCCACTGTGTTCCACTTCTGTTGGTTATACATCATAGACCCAATTGTTTCACCAAATTTTCTGCTAAATCTTTAACAAATATTGTTCCTGTTGTTTGTCTTTTTTCTGGTGGTTACCCCAAGGTAAACTAAGATAATACGGAAAGTCACTATTTTTATAGCTCCTCATCTATTGCTATGGGCCATGGTTTCCACATCGATGTGAGTTTACCCCAGGGTACATACTGTTCTTGTTGGCGGTTTCAAACATTTTTATTTTCCATCATATATGGGATAAACCTTCCCATTGACTAATATTTTTCAGAGGGGTTCAAACCACCAACCAGTGTTAAATCACCATTGTTCATGGTCTCCTCCCTGTCTTTTTCGCTCGTCGTCCCAGGTATGGGTATTGGATCCATTTGCACCACCCAAGAGGTCTGCGCCTGCGGCCGTGCACAGGCGCAAAGAAGACAAGTTGTTTTTCCGCGGGGATTTTGAGCCTGAGAAATTTGGTCCAAAAACATCGAACATGGGGATATAACCAACGGAAAAAAAAAAAAACGTATTTCACATTGTTTAAGCAACATGTGTAAACATGGAAATAATTCCCACAAGTTTCTCTTTTGGTTGAATTGTTTGGGTTTCTGCTCCAAGAAATACAGGTTCTTAAACATTTCTTCTATCAAAAGTAGCTGGCAAAAGATAATTTCCTGTCTACCATAAAAGGTATGCTTCCTCAGTAAGCAGGGCTTCAGGGGTTAATTTCTGCCAAACAAATTGCCGATGAAGGAATGTTTGATCCATCTGGAACCGTATTTTTCTGACTGGTTTCCACTTGGAAAATCATGTTCATGTTTCGACTTGTACTGCGTGGGCAAGATCATAAAATATCCAATCACTCGACTTAAGTTGGATGATTGTTTGGCTCCCAACATGCCCAGTGTGGGTCATAGAATGTCCATAGACTCATTTGGGTGGAATCCCCACTATTCAATTTCACTTTAGACCTATGAACTACTAACCTCGCGTTACTTCCTCTATTGGTCACAGGCCAATCATGAGCCCGTTGTAAAATTTCAGTTGGAGTGTTGACATATTACCTTCTGGCAATCCAAGATAGCTATGAAAACCACCACGTTTAAGAGGTAAATCATCTACAAATGGGCCATGTTCCGTAGCTATGTTAGATTGCTAGACGGTACGTCATGCTTCATCACCCCTATTGATATCGGCAGTAGCCTGACACTTTTTTGCACAGACTTTAGGCCCTATGCAAATTCCATGCGTTTGCAATGTGGGAGTATATCTAGCAAACTTGTTGTTACGTTATAATCCCGAACTTGTCGGCCATGTAGACCCCTACAACCTCCAAATTCAGTATGGAGCACGATAAATGGGTTCCCACTTAGAGTATATTATTTTACAACTGGATATGGCCAAACTGGTGGTTTACATGGCAAACTGGCAAATCCTTTGTTCCCAGACTTGGATGAAAGGACAAGTTAGAAGAACCCCATATTTGTTGGGAAAAAACACGGGTTTTTCACAATCGATCCCTTAAATCACTTAAAATCCACTTTATACTCTTTTAATTTCCTATGAATGCCAATTTCGGATGGTTCTCCCCTGATCAATCCCGTAAGTCATCCCAAAGAACCGATCCATATCTTCCAATTTTGTGTGGTGAATGGCTATGTCATCACCTTTCCTAAGTCACCACTTCCCTAAGTCACCACTTCCCTAAGTCACATAAATAATAGATCATTAACATGTGTTTGAAATGTTGTGTATACCATATATATATATACCAGATTGTCATATATATATACACACCATAGCATATATCGTCATATATATATATACCAGGAGATACAATATCCTACCATATCATACCATATATACCATAATATATATATATACATATGGCATATATATATATGATACCATATATATATATATGCCAGATATTTCTCCCAGATTGTAGGCATCGGCAGTGTACAACGTGGCCAAATTGGCGCGAGTCTATGACGTGCCCATCTTGGCCGACGGCGCCTTTGACGAAGCTTGCAACGTTGGCTACTGGCAGTGCTGGTTATATTGGGGATATAATGGGTATGTATGTATATATATATATATATAAATCATTTATAATATATATATTTTTTTAATGTTATTATTATAGTGTATTCTATATTATGTATATTGTATTATATATACATATATTTGAGTTCTTGGAGAGTATTTACAATATACAATAGTATATAGATAATACTGGGATGTTTTTGGGATATATACATATTTAAATAAACCGTTAGCAGAATAGTGATATAATGCGAATAGAATGGGATCATCATTACTGGGACAATGGTAAATAATGACTCAGTTGTTATCAATATCTTTTGTTACCCCCTGGTTATTTAACATAGCTATGGAAAATGACCCATTTATAGATGATTGATGTACCTATTAAAGCTTGTGATATTCCATGGCTTTGCTAAATAACCAAAGGGTCATATACAGTATTTGTCAATATGTGTTTTGTACCCATGGGGACATAGTTTGCGGAACCCTCCCCACTAACAATCCCTCTAGATGATCCACAATATGACATGGGTTTGTCTCAAAATGTCTCAAAATGGGTGATAACCAAGACCCCACTAACGAAAATTGGTCTTTTATGGTTCCCTTGAATATTCAATCATGAACACTAGGGTGACTTGCCATCAAAAGAAACAAAGGAAGGAACACAGAAAAACTAGGCTTCAATCATCAAAACAATGGGATTTGACCATCAAAAGTTGTGATTTCACCATCAACAAATGGTGGTAGAATAGTTAATCAATGCAAATGTAATCGGAATCATCATTTTTTTTGCAAAATTATGGTACGCAATTATATAGTTTGTATCACTATTTTGGGTTGTTGTCTATAATTATGTCATTCCCCACCTGCCAGGTGAGGGTTGTTAGATTTTATGTCAGTTGCCTCCTCCTCCTTCTCCTCCTCCTGCTCCTCCTCCTGCTCCTCCTCTCCTCCTCCTCCTCCCCTCCTCCTCCTCCTCGTCCTCCTCGTCGTCCTCGTCGTCCTCGTCGTCCTCGTCGTCCTTGCTCAACTGCGACCCGCGATCCACAGTGTTCGCTGCCGGACCTCAACCACGACCATCCACGCCCAGTGTTCCCTGCCGGACCTCAACCACGACCATCCGCGCCCAGTGTTTCCTGCCGGACCTCAACCACGACCATCCGCGCCCAGTGTTCCCTGCCGGACCTCAACCACGACCATCCGCGCCCAGTGTTCCCTGCCGGACCTCAACCGCGACCATCCGCGCCCAGTGTTCCCTGCCGGACCTCAACCACGACCATCCGCGCCCAGTGTTCCCTGCCGGACCTCAACCGCGACCATCCGCGCCCAGTGTTCCCTGCCGGACCTCAACCGCGACCATCCGCGCCCAGTGTTCCCTGCCGGACCTCATGTGGGATATGGGACTCAAAAATGGGACCAATCTCAGAAGAATGCCAGAAGATATGCCAGAAGATATGTAGAATGCCAGATAATATGCCAGAAGATATGCCAGATAGAATGCCAGATAGAATGCCAGAATATTTGCCAGATAGAATGTCAGATAGAATGCCACAAGATATGCCAGATAGAATCCCAGAAGATTTGCCAGATAATATGCCAGAAGATATGCCAGATAGAATGCCAGATAGAATGCCAGAAGATATGCCAGAAGATATGCCAGAAGATATGCCAGATAGAATGCCAAAAGATATGCCAGAAGATATGCCAGATAGAATGCCAGAAGATATGTCAGAAGATATGCCAGAAGATATGCCAGATAGAATGCCAGAGATGCCAGATATGCCAGAACATATTTGCCATGCCAAATAGAATGCCAGAAGACATGTCAGATAGAATGCCAGAAGATTTGCCAGTAAGAAAATGTATAAATGTGATGGTGGGGATCACACGAAGTAAAGTAATTTAGTTAATGGGAGATGGCATGGGATATGTTACCAACAAAATTATGAACCAGCTGAAAAGGGCACGTCACGGGAATCCACAGGGAGCCATGTGGAAACATCAACGTTGAGGGTACCCTTTTCTTGAGACAAATCTATGTGAACCAGAGCAGTGCATAGACTTGAGACATGTGGCTTGTGACTTTTGAATTATTGATCATTAAGGCATGTATGCGTATCTAAGACAGACATATACAATATATATATATATATATATAGGTAGATAGATAGATGCTAGAATTGAACTTCTAGAGGCATGTATAAAGATACTGAAATGTTGTTCGAAATAGATGTCGTCATATATTTTGATTTAGCAATCCAGAAATGCCCTTGTCATATGAGTCATATCTCTGTTATCAGCCATTACATGCTGACCACAAACCAGTGGGGTGTTTTGCTTCTCCCGGTGCCCCCAACAAAAGGGTCGTTGCTAATATGTGCAGCCCAAAAGAATTGATTATTTCACTGAGACCCTCCAAGTACCCACGAAAACTTGGTGTAAAAGTATATACAAATCTGAAAAAAACACTCAAAACAACGGATTGTGTCTTCTAAAGAACAATTTCTGATCATTTTTCTATGGATATGTTTTCACTGCCGAGAAATGGTACCAGATGGTCCATCGAAAGAATATCTGGTTGGTGGTTTGGAACATTTGTTATTTTCCATAATATGAATGGATAATCCGGATGTCATCCTTCCCATTGACGAACTCCATCATTTTTCAAGATGGGTATATAAAACCACCAACCAGATTATGTTTCTATGGATATTTGGGTATGTCTGAAAATGGGGTATATTCCCAAACAAATAGCCATTTAGTAGGGATAATGATCAGCAAAACCATTGGGTGTAGGGGTACACTATTTTCAGACAAACCCATTTGATGAAATTTGATGAAATTCCTTGGCTCAAAGTGCCTCAGGTGGAATTTCCAGCCCAGGGCACATCGTCAAGGCGATGAGTTTGGGCGCTGGCGCGGCCATGTGCGGCAGCCTTCTGGCAGGCGGACCTTTGGAGATGGGAAAAAATCACATATTTAATGGAGATATTATTGAGATTTAATGGAATTGAGGATTGAGTAGAAGCTTATTGGAGGATTGAGTAGGGATTGTTTTTGAGATTTAATGGAATTACATGGGATTTTGATAGAAGTTAATGGGGTTTAATGAGGTTTTGTTGGGTGGGGGTTTAATGGGGATACCCTCCAGTAGACTATATAACATTTATAACACAAATGATATGGGAATCCATTGTTGTTTCGCGGTCTCCCAATATGTTCCAATTATAAGGGTGTGCAACCTGTGCACTCAATGTCCTGAAGGTCAACTGTTGATAAGGGATAGATTTTTGCAAGCGTTGGCTACCATGAGGGATCATGCAATCTATAAAGAATGAGATCTGGGGTATATTCCAACCTGGATCGTAGCTAGAGGTGTTCGAATGCTGTGACTTGCTGATTGTTGACCCCAGCGTTGTTCAATGGCTAGTAACCCTGAATGACCCTGCTTGTTGAGCTACAACCGATTTCCGAACCACTTGGCTAATAAATTTGCCCTTTGGAGTAAGGCTCTTGAGGATTGCAATGCAAGGAGATGAGAAGGGGATTCTGGGGCGTAGGTTTCCAACATAGGTGTCCCAGGGACAGAAATCGTTCGAATGTAGCAGCCAAATGCAAATCACGGAGTGCTTTGTCACGTTGGATGTCAATTCCCCAGAATTGGATGATGGGACAATTTACAGCTGACTGAAATGCACCTGCGGGGGAAGAACATGGTTTCCGGTCAAGAGTTTCCCTCAGTGACAATAAATCAGATGGTTCCAGTGTATACACTATGATTTCCCATGATATCCCCATATTTGTTTTGACTGAATCCCCAATCTTCCCCATCAAAACCGATGTGACAAGGAAACGGCGATCATAGCGATCGAAGATCGCTTCAAAGAGGTTCAAAAGACATCCTGGTTGCTGGTTTCAAACATTTTTCATTGTCCATTTCATATATGGGATGTCATCCTTCCCATTGACGAACTCATATTTTTCAAGATGGTTATCGCACCACCAACCAGATTATTATTAACCATATAATAACCATATAACAACCATATATTAACCATATATTAACCACCATTAGGCAGTATTAACAGTATATAAACCACCAACCAGCATCTATAGATGGCCCCATCGCTATGGCCTGTGAGCCATGGGTCATAGGTTTTTTTCAGAGGCCAGGCACTACAGCCGAAGCTACAGTCAATTGGGGGGTTCCTAAGTCAAAGAGGTACCCCAAATGGATGATTTATACTGGACAATCCTACTAAAATGGATGATGATTTGGGGGTACCCTCTGACTTCGGAACCCTCCAATTTTTCGGTATGTTCTGTAAGTTATGCCAACGATCACCGTGCAACATGTTTTCTGACCATATCCCTGGTAAAAGTACCTACTGCACGCGTTCAGCCGTGTAGCCCTTGGCTGTGCTGCTAGGTACCAGTGAAACACCTGGTGAGTACTTCTACTCTGAAACTTGGTCGCAGAAAGCTCACTTTTTGAGCCCAGGTTGACCACCAAAAAATAGACATAGTGAAGGAGGCCCAAACATTATCTGAATGGTAAGATATCCCAATGATAATAAAAATGGTATAAGATATCCCATATAGTAACATATCAAGAGAAACACAGTTGATTTGTGTCGGAATATATCCCAATGATATCCATGTTACTGCTTATTGTATCGGGACACTAACCAGCAGTGGTTTCTAGCCGACTCTGGTTAGTTCTCATCACAATCTATTGAAGTCTACAACCCGACGTTACCATGAGTGTAAAAAATGGAAGAACCACCAACTCCAGCAATTCGGTTTGTGGCCCTGGAAATTGCTGAGTGGGACAGTCAGGAGAGGTTGAAACAACCCACCAATAGGTTTTATTCCATCTTGTTGATATGTAATGGTATGTCCAAAAATTACTTTACTTTGTGTGATCCCCACCATGACATTTATACATTTTCTTACTGGCAAATCTTCTGGCATTCTATCTGACATATCTTCTGACAATCTATTTGGCATTCTATCTGGCATATCTTCTGGCATATGTTCTGGCATATCTTCTGGCATATCTTCTGGTTCTATCTGGCATTCTATTTGGCATTCTATCTGGCATATCTTCTGGCATTCTATCTGACATATCTTCTAGCATTCTATCTGGCATTCTATCTGGCATATCTTCTGACATATATTCTGACATATTTTCTGGCATTCTATCTGCCATCCTATCTGGCATTCTATTTGGCATTCTATCTGGCATATCCAGAAGATATGATATGCCAGATAGAATGCCAAATAGAATGTCAGAAGATATGTCAGATAGAATGCCAGAAGATGTGCCAGTAAGAACATGTATAAATGTCATGATGGGGATCACACGAAGTAAAGTAATTTCTTCTGCACATTCTTTGTCCCATATCTTCCTACATGAGGTCCGGCAGGGAACACTTGGCATGGATACTCGCGGTTGAGGTCCGGCAGGGAACACTGGGCGTGGCTGGTCGTGGTTGAGGTCCGGCAGGGAACACTGGGCGTGGCTGGTCGTGGTTGAGGTCCGGCAGGGAACACTGGTCGTGGATGGTCGTGGTTGAGGTCCGGCAGCGAACACTGTGGATCGCGGGTCGCAGTTGGACGAGGACGACGAGGACGACGAGGACGACGAGGACGACAAGGATGACAAGGAGGACGAGGAGGAGGCAGGAGGCAGGAGGCGGCAGGAGGAGGAGGAGGCAACTGACATAAAATCTAACAACCCTCACCTGGCAGGTGGGGAAAAACATGTAATACCATTGTTTTTGTAGGTCGCACTCCTCATTCTTCTTGCTTCTATCCGGTTGGTTGTTGCCTAAATCCTAATTTCCTTGGTTGCAACATACATGTTTTGCTGTTGCAATCAGGTAAACATACATGGCGTTACCCCAGAGTATCCATCCAATTCGGGTGTGTCTGAAATGGTCTATACACGACCCACAAATGCAACATGACCATGTTAATTGGGACAATGATGATTGACCAGTGGATGGCAGGGTATACCCTATGTTCAGACAAACCTCTATATAACTATATATGTATATATATATGTATATATATATATATGTATATATATAGATGACATGTGTATTGTTTGTGGTATCCCACCATTTCCCCATGATACAGTATTCTAACATGGCCCTTATGTTATTTACTCATTGAAAATGCGATAGTTTTCCGTAGCTATGTTGCATTACCACGAAAATATGGCAGTGTGTCAAAACCCTGGTACCTAGTGAACCCCAAAATAGCTGGTAAATGGATGTTCATCCCACTCAAAATGTATCTATAGGTATTGACCCATACCCATATCACCGGTGAAAAAGTGATGATTTTCCCATGATTTTCACGTACAGAGGAATGGTTGCCATGGGTTGCCATGGAACCTTCGTCACGTCACCCGCTGCAGGAAGATGGCAAGCGCTTGAAGCGCTACCGCGGCATGGGGTCCATCGATGCCATGAAGAAGGCGCTCGCGCTGAGTCGATGGTGAACTACTGGGGTTTATACTATGGAACCAATAGTAGATGGTATATGGGTATGGGTCAATACCTATAGATACATTTTTAGGGGGATGAACATCCATTTACCAGCTATTTTGGGGTTCACTAGGTACCAGGGTTTTGTCCCATCCCCATATAATAGATGAAAACTAATGCATATTTAGTTGTGAAAAGAAAAATATACAATTGAATTGTACAATGGATTTATATCATCTAATATTTTAACTACAGTAAATGGAATATAGATTGATGAATATAATAATAGATGGTATATATAACCATTTGATGGTTTATTGAATTGATAGATAATATACTAAAAGTCGATGAACACTAGCCACCTAATGGTATAACAGGAATATAGTAACCACATGTTAGAATTGGAATCATTTTTTTAAGAAGTCTATGGTAGAAAAGAGGAATATAGAAACCCCAACAAAAGATGCCACTGGAAACCTTGGAAATGTGTATTGAATATCATCTAAAACTGCCTGGAAATTTGTTCTATCTTCATGGGGGCTACTATAATGCCCCCGTTCATATTCAACACCGGTGGCAGTGGAAAGCAGATTTGGGACAATGGGATAGGGCTGTTTCGCTACTAGTATGATTGGTGTTGAAAGTTTGTTGGGCCCCAATTTGAAACATGTACCATCTGGTTCTCTAACAGTTTGCCGTGGAAAATCACTATTTTTAATAAGTAAACCATCTATTTCGATTAGGGCCATCTCCCATGGCTATGTTAGTCATAACCAGAGGGTAAAACCCACCCATCAGATGGTTGGCTTAGTGATGTTAGTGGGTTGGATTCCTGGGATTCTCGACACAAAAAGTATCACGTTTTTCTCCGCACAGTGCGGGGAGACGGGTAGCCCATTTTTGGATCAACCATGTGACACGGTTGGCGATCTGGTCCCGATTTTGCACAGGAAAACTGAGTCATAAGCCATGATCCCATCATACCGAAAAATTCTTGGTGACATCGCCCCAAGTTGCAGTGAGTTTACGGGATTTCTCACCCTCTCCAGGGCTCGGATGACAGATACTTTGGCACGGCTGCGGCCATCAAGGTTGCACAGGCCGTGGGCCAGGGATGGGAGCGACTAAGTGACTAAAGCCTTGGACAGGACATGGAACATGTCAGCAGCCCTTGGAAAATGGGATGTAGTGACTTGTAGTGGGTTTTTGACCACTGAATGGAGATACTGAGATACTGACGAAATTATGGTTTGTTCAAGAAAATGTTGCAGGATCCATGAGGATCTCACTAACAACAAGTCGTTGTTCAACCATTTGAATCGGGAGATAAGGAGTACTGTATATTGAATCAATGAATAGGTAAATCATGGTAAATCATCTCTTACCTTCAGTCAATCCATCGAGCACCCTGCATCTTTGTGAATTCTGTGGGCCCTCATTAAGCCCCCTTTCCGGGGCCCCAAAAAGGTGATGCATAAGCTGATGGTTTGGCGCAGACCCTTGCCAGAAATTGCACGACTGATGTTGGGGGAAGCATCAAAAATTGTTTCAAATATCCATCAATTGTCATAGCTCGAAGATTCTTTCATGTATTCAATTTATGTACCCAAAAATGCTATAGCCCTCGAAACATGGTTTTTACTATCAAGACATTCAAATTTGCAATATGCATTTCATGTTCTGACAACCCCCTTTACCACAAATCGGTTAAACCCACACCGAAAAGCCAAAAATGTCCGCCGCAGGGGGTTTCTGGCACTGTCCAAGACAAGGGCTGCTTGGACAGACAGTGATCAGAAAAAAACCAGGTCAGCGGTGTTCCGGTGATGTTTTTGTTCAGGTCTCGTATGAAACGATGAGACTATATGAAATATTACAAGGAATACTACATGGACACACTAAACGGAATACTACATGGAATACATATATGGAATACTATCAGGTGTGTTGGGGATTCCCAAAAGCCATTGCCGGAAGTTGCAGTAAGCCATGCAGGATGCTTTTTAAGGTCTCCAAAGCGACCAGCCAAGTGCAGGTCTGCAAACGTGTGAGTTTTCTGGGACAGCCTAGGGCCTCTGTTCTAGCTACTGCAACTCGTGCCTAAAATGGAAACACCTCATTTGGAGATGGACAGATAGAGGCTTCAAGAGTCTGTCACGAAGGGAAGCATGCCTTGTATAGCTTTGGTCATTGGTTCAGTAAATATGGGACATATATAAATATACTACATAGCTATGTACGGGACACATTTGGGGCTTCTTAAACTTCGCCTACTGCGTAGCTGCTGGTTGACAAAGATGTTAAATATGTTTGAATCAGCTTCAGCTAACAACATACTTATATAATCTTATAAACATACAGTTGTTATATATATATATATTATTATATTATATATATTATATGTATTATATATATATCATATGTATATATATATATATATATTATACGTAAATGTTGAAGGGAAAGTGAAGTATTTTGGGATTTTTACGCGTTCCATGTCTGCCGAGGCAGCATCCACAGATACATCCCCTACCTGACCCAGGGCATCAGACATGGCATGCAGGACGCGGCAACGGCAGCGGAGAATTTGTTGGGATCCACCGGCCAGAAACCGTCCCCTTAACCAATCTGAAATAGGGGTATCCAAGATATCCCAACAGGATGCTGCCCCAGTTCGTTAGCTAAGTTGGTTTATAACCATAATAACCATAGTGTATGATACTTACAACTAGATTTAGATGGATTTATAAACCAACTTATAACTGGAGGGCGCCATCCTGAAGATTAAAACCCCAATGTCGGATGGTTTTTTCTCATGGGGTTTACCACATTATAACCTTCTATAAACACCACAGAGAGGGTGTGGGGAAGGGGTCAACCAACCATGACTCGGGGGTCGATCATGCCGAATGGAGGTATACCCAATGGTAGAAGACCCCCATGGGGGATGGTTTCTTATTCATTCTTATCCATTTTACCATATTATGTATAAAAGAATGAATAAGATTAATGGTATTTCATGAATGAATTAGATTATTTTTATATCATAAGGATATGATATTTCTTATTATGTGTGAGATGATGTGTTTGTTTCATACCCTTGTGTCTTACCCCTTGACATGCTGCGTAGACATAGGATGTTTAAAAAAAAGTGGTGTCCTCATTCAATGTGCACTGAGAGAAACCCTGGTTTAGCATTGTATTTATTCCTTGGTAATTATTTATAATAGTCCCCAAATGGTTGGAACATATTTTCCCTACTATTAGATACAGTAGGTAACCCTTCAACCTTTGATAGTCGACTTAATCGCCCAGTAAGTAAGACTAAAAGAACTTTGTTTCATCGCTGCCCTTCAGTCACTTTCTAAAGTTTTAAGTCAAGTTATGACCAAAGTTTTAGATCTAAATCATAAATCTAGATATAGATCTAAATCAACTACTCAAGTTATAAATCAAATTACAAATCACTGTTCTAAACCACTTCGATTCATCGCTAGCCACGCCCCTTGGTTGTCGCTTCCGCAGGACATTGGTGCCCAAAGCGTGCAGCAAGTCCAATCGATGCTGCAGGCGCTGCCTTGCGGCTGATCCGTGCAGGATCAACTCTCAGCTTTTTATTTCAAAACCATGGGACTTCATTATAGTTAGTAGTGGTTAATGGTGGTTATACATATATAGTTAATAGTGGTTAATGGTGGTTAATAGATGTTAATAGTGGTTAATGTTGGTTAATAGTTACCCCTTGGGAATTTGACATAGACCCTGAAAATCACAATGTTTTGGTGAAAACTAGCCTTCCAACCATTTCCAACCCCGATGACTGCCAGGGTCTATGTGATTAGGTGAATTTACTAGAGGGTATCCTTGTGTCTGATCATTTGATCATACCTGAGGTCATAGTTGACGATCAAAATCGTGTTGATCCAGTGCAATGGCCAAACTTTGGTACCGAGTCACTTGAGGAATTGGAGACCCTTGCGGCCCCAAATGGGTTGGGGTTATGCAATTTGCAAGTTGATAGATCAATATAGATCATAGTATTTGAAAGTCCACTTTTAGGTATATTTCTTAGAATACATATTATACAATATTATACATTATATTAAACTAATAGGTAAGTTAAGCCTCAAGTCTGGCGACCCTCTAATACACTGGTCCCGTTGGATCATTTTCTTCGATGATTTACCTATTTAGACTGCAGATGTTCCATAGTAGTTATGTCACAAACTACCAGCTTATATATATATATACATAATATATATATATATATACATTATGCCTGAAGAAACACATTTTTCTTGCTGAGATCTTCCCCAAAATCACCAGTTCTCGTCAAAGAGTCATCAATGTTCTTTAAACTTCCCAAATGTTCACAAACATCACCTCAAAAAATACACCCATCCCCCAACAAACAGCCGTTTTCCATGAAGGCGGGTCAGCTGCGCTTCGAGCTGCGGTCGGCTGCGGCGCAGCGTGAGGGCGGTGTGCACGGTCTCCATAGCTTTGAGCGAAGCTTGGTGACACGTGACACGTGGGCGGTGGAAGATGCAGATGGAGAAAATCATAGGGGACATATAGGGGACTAAGCATCTAGAAAGAGGGATTTCATGGGATTTCATGGGATTTGGTGGGGTCCAATGGGATTATGAACTATGAAAAATGGTAGATAATGGGGAACATAATAAGGCTAAACATTAACGAAGAGGGATTTTAGTGGGATTCAGATGTTTTAATGGGAAACTCTTCTATAACATGGGTCATTAAATGTCCCCATTGAACATCACCCAACCATTAGGTATATGGTCTATAATGGCTACTATAAGGTGATGTCCAACATTCCCGAAATGGGACAGTTACCAACCCCTTTATAAATGGAATATCTATGGGAGATTAGCTGTGAAAATTGGAATTGCACCATCGACTTTGGTGGAATGGTGAAGTTGCTTTGTTGAAGTTGAATGTAAAATCCAGTATGACTAGGGAATCGAGTATAGAGAATATGTGTTATATGCTTCTTTTGGGGCCCTTTAGAAAATCCAAGATGCTGGAATTGGAGGGGGGGAGTTGGGGAGTTTGATCAAGAAAAGGTGTATCTAAAATGATCTAACCAATCAATTTGGGGTTTGAACGTGTTTTCAAGTGGTTGAAGCAAACGCAAAAATGAGATATACTCAGAAGATTGTTAGTGTGATCGCCCCAGAATAGAATATGGTATACTTACAGCTTGTATAGGGGTATTATGATGTATTGTGGGTTTATTATACCTTGTTGGTAATACGGTCATACCCTAATGTAACTACAAAAATGGGCTATTATGGGGTTATAACATTCTGATGTGAACTCTGTGACCTACTAAAACATACTAAAACCATGCTAATGGGGATGTTTAGCAACTGGTTGATGTAGTCCCTTGATTTCCAAGAGTGGTGCCTTAAAGATGCCAAGGGAAACACCGAAGAAGGAACGACTTTCACTCGCCAGTGCAATGTTTAAGTGATCTTGGAAGTGAGCAATTGAAATTGACAAGTGATTTTTGTGGACCACACACATTCAGCCTGTTCAGTGCACCAATACGTAAGCGTTAGCTAAAACGTGGGGGTGCGTCTGTTTAGCTTAGTGATTCTCATCCCATGTGCATGGACCGATGAACATCCATAACCAGCAATAAAATCTGGGGTTTCTAATTCATTCTACTTGATCCCAGTACAGTAATGACATGTAATGACTACTAGTTTCAGGATTTTAGCATATTTAAACACCACACATTGGAGACTCAGGAAATGATTACATGATTAACCAAGAATTTGCTAACTTTTTACCGCTGGAAGCAATTGCTAACGTCCATGATTGTCCAAGTGGACCTTATGTCTTGACCAGAGACGCTTCCTTTTTGGAATAGTGACATTGGCAGTATATACCCAACTGCATTTGAAAGTATCATAGTATTCAACACCCCCCAGAAACCATAGTTCAATAGAGGATTGGCAAACATATTTGGAACCATACAATGGGAGTGTGTGATATTAGGGGGATTAGATGACGTCATAATTTGCTATCATGCATCGCGATCAAAAAAACCCTACGCAAATCCGCGAATGGCACCGAGTTTCTCCTTGAAGACACAGCGTGTAGATGTTTAGGTTGGTTGGTTCTCAGCTTTGGTAGAATCTGAATGGCATCCACTGGAATCTTGGTGCCCTGTGGGACCAGATGCAACGATTGTGTGGCATGAGGAGCTGTCACTCCGCGGTCCTGGGAGTCGTCTTGGCGGCAGCGACAGTGGACATTCAGAGCATTGATCGTGGCCAAGTCGGCAAAGCCAGCAGCATTTCGACAATCTCCTTGAAGAGGTGGCCAAAACGAAGAAAAGCTGTATTCCCGTACTGCACTCGTTATATTATCATCAGAGTTACCAACTACTTGAGATTTGTGGAGGAAATATCGAAGTTGTACTGTATCATCCATTGGATTTACCCCATGATTTTGCATTCAAAAAGGTTGTGTATACGCCCAGTCAAGGATGATCAGATGAGTTATGGATCAATAGCTACACTTGGAGGATCATGCCATGATGTTTTTGTAGCTAACCATCGTTTTTTGACCTAAGCAGCTACGATCCGTGGAATGATGCTCGAAGCAACCACCTTTTGATGTGAAAACCTAGGAATTCCATGGGTGACCAGTGACCCCCACCCAGCTAAAGCCAGCTCACAGCGCCAAGGAAAGCTGTTCGACTCTTGAGTCAGTTCCTTTAGTTTGCCCAATTTCTGGGTGTCTCCTGGGATGGGATCCATTTCCTGAAAGTAAATATCGAGTTGGGACGAATGTCATTTGAAAAAGAGGACATTAAATAGCATTGGTGATTGAATATGTAAATCATATCCCAATAACCACTGAATACCATTGTTGGTTTGTTACCCTCTGGTAATTTAACATAGCTATTGAAAATGGCCATTATTAATGGGAACATCCACTATAAATGGCCATTTTCAATAGCTACGTTAAATTACCCATTATGTGACAGGCTTTGTCAGACAAGGCATATCCCAAGTTGACCTAATATGGGAAGCCGAGGCGAAGATACAAAAGAAGCTTCTGGAATGTGGGACTCAAACGTTATGTGAACGTCGGCTCATAAACCCCAGAAACTATAGGTATTATATATATACATATATATATATACATACATTCATATGTATATGATGTATCTACTATATATATATTATACATATATTCAATGATATATCATACCATAAACAATGGTTAACCTAGTTAAAAGCCAACTTTGTAATAAACTATAGTTATATGTATCATAAACTAGAGTGAACTTGGAGTTATAAAACAATTCCCAGCCAAATTGCCACTTGTAATATCCAATAAGGGATATTGATCATCATACATTATATTGGGTCCCGCTGGTGTTTGCGATGTCTTTGCCAAGACTGCTGGACACTGCTGGAACCTTCAATAGCACACCTCACGAACCAATTGCCAATAAAAACCAATGAAGTATAATGACCTTAGATGGGTATGGGTCAATACCTATAGATACATTTTAGTGGGATGAACATCCATTTACCAGCTATTTTGATGTTCACCAGGGGTACAAGGTTTTGACACACTGCCAGATGATGAATTAGTAACTTAGTATGAATGACTCAACCACCAGGTAGCTTGCCCTCTGGTAAACATGGCTGGAAAATCCACTAGTGATGGATTATTTTCTCATTAAAATTTCCATCTAGATTCTAGATCCATTTAGTTCGGGGATTTCCCCTTGTGTTTGATTACTGGATTGCATCTACTAGCTCAGTCTGGACTGCAGCTCTTCCAAGCATACCCAGAAATCACAGAAGATCAGGTGACATGCAGCGTGGGTCTTTGCTACCAGAACCATCACTTAGCCGCGGTGGTGTCAGGATAGTCAGCTGAATTTTCAAGGCACCATGTGGGAAAGCCAAGGCACCATTTTCAACCCATTTAAGGGGATGGTGTGGTCGCAACTATGGCGACTTCGGGATGCTTTATTATGGGTTTTACCACATTTTCAGGTTTCGTGTGTGTGATAAAAAAAGCGTTGCACAGAGTGAATCGGTTGAAAATTGTTGAGAAACATTGGTTTGTTCCTCGAAGATATATATAATTATATATATATATATATCTATTCTCAAAGTATGACTGTCACTGAAATATTCCAATTCGAACTTGGTTAGATACTTGGATGTGGTTTAGGATTTGTAGGTATATCTGGATATAATAGATAGATATGTAAATATATATATATATATATATTTACATATATATATATATATATAGAGAGAGAGATATGTATATTTTTTTCGCAGATTTCTGAAAGAAGCCATATATGGCGGTCATTCTGAGCCGACAATGGATGCTGACACCAAGCAAGCGGCGGCCCTTTTGCGGAACTCTTGTAACTCGATTGACCCTTCGTTTGGATGAGGGGAATCGAACATGGTCCTACAAATGTGGGAAACATGGTGTTTTGATTGAAAGAAACTATATATATATATATTATGAAAATAAAATATAGATATGAACTTGTACTGTAATGGAGAATAGTATTCGATGCATCTCTATTTTTTGGAAATTGAGATGGGGCATGGAAAACGATAATATATTCTTCAAAAAACGATAACATTTGCTTATGTTTTTCTTGGTTATCAGTCATCCTTTGTCTTGTGCTGCAGGTTATTCGATACTTTAGGATATTTTACGTAGGCGTTCAAGAACAATCACCATCTGTTTGAGAGATAGGCAAACGACAAAAAATCATCTTTTGAACACTGGTACCTGGTGATGTGCCTTGCTGTGTGGTGATAGTTTGTTTATTCTGCTCTTTGCGTTGCGTACTAAGCAAATATTAAATCTGTGCGGCCATATTTCAATCTTTTGCCTCAACACTTGCTAATAACAACGCGCCATACTGACGAAAGGAAAGAACAAGGTCTGGCACCAGGAATAGTGAGGGGGGGGTTCACCCCTGTCCGGAAAAACATCAAAATATAATGGAAATTACAGGAAAAACGAAAATAATTTCCCGGAACCTGAAAAACGATGAAAAACGATATATTTTTTTTCAAATAATATATTCCTGGAATACAAAAAATTAATCATTTGGAGCCATACGCCCGGACCCACAATGATTTTGAACGCACCTCAGAGCCCGCAAAAATGTGTACTTCTTAGGACCATTTAATTCGTCATATGGGTTATTTAGATTGCGTCGGTATTCTTTTATGCATGGCCATAATATATTTTATATAATTAACATTTGATTTATTTATTAATTATTAAGATTATAATATTTTTTTGGGTAAAATATTTAATTTTTATAAATATATATTGAAATTATAAATTTGAAAATATATGGGTGGAATTTTACGAATATTGATCATGGAAATATCTTATTATAAATTAAAATTATATATGTTTTATATTTATTTTATTATAATTATTTTAAATAAATTTTGAGAAAAATAAATAAAAATAAATTATTAGAAATAATTTAAATTTATTTGGATTTTATTATTATTATTATTATTAAATTAAAAATTATTTAATAATTATTTGGAATAATATAAAATTATATATTAGGTATTTTTAGAAATGTTGAGGTTCCGGAGCCCTTAGGGAATGTTTAAAATTGTTTGAATTATTAAAAATTGTTTTAAAATTGTTTTAAATTTCTATAATTGTTCGGAGATTGTTTTAAAATAAAATGAAAAAAATAAATATTGTTTTAAAATTGTTCTAAAATTGTTTTGTTTGGTTTTAAAATTGTTTGAAAATAAAATGAAATTGTTTTAAAATTGTTTTGATTTTGTTTGTTTTTTTGGAAAATTAATTTTAAGATGTTTTAAATTTGTTTAAAATTTCAAAAATATTCAGAAAAATGTTTCAATGTTTTTCATGATCGTTTGGAATGTGAAGATTTGGTTTTGTTTTGAAAATTGTTCGG